TTAATTCAGTTACCAAAATTTTTGTCTCTTTTTTTATTTGTTTTTGTAATTTTTCAACTAATAATTAAAAAAAAAATAGAATCATTCTCCAATTTTTTATAATTAACAACAGGTGGAGCCACGGTTAGGAATCATCCTGCATTATTACTCTCAATTTCAGTTGCTCTTGATTAAATTCTCTAATATAATTTATTTTAAAAACTGCGCAGTCATAAAACTGCAAGCAATTATCGGAAAAATGAACAGCACTTTACCAATTACCATAAACTCTATAAAAATCGATCACCGAAATCTGTATTATTAAAAAAGTTAATTCACGAGCTATAATGATTTGTAAACAATATTTTCTAGAATGACTACGAAACACGAATTGCCACAAAATTGTTGATAATCGATGTGAATAAATTTCTCTATAAAAGTTTTGATTAAACTAATTTTACAATAAGCTTGTGGTTGGAATCTTTACGAAATTATTTCAATAAAAATAATTACCCGATTAAATAAAACGAATTCGCGATCGGCAATCGATAATATATTATTTAGCTTGAATTTATACTGAAGCATAGAATCCTTAAAGGTTAATCATAAACAAAATAGAGTGTTCTACTCATAACAAGCGGTAATTTAAATATTTGTAGAGCACTCGAATTAACCAGGGTAAAAGTAAAATCAGTTTATTGCTCACAGTTTGCAATTGGTAATTGGGAGGTGAATTTTCATACACACAAAAGCTTTGCAGGGTCGCAGATTGAGAGGTGGTTGCTGATAATTAATTAGTGCAAGCTCGGTTGAGCTAAGACTGAGCAAAGTTACTGATTGTTAGTTACGAGTCCTTACCGATCTTGCTCTTGATTATAGTTCTGATATAATCACACGCTAATTCAATCACAGGGATTTTAGTTAAATTCTGCCGTAAATCGGTGAGATTCCGCTCTATTATAAATAAATTGCGATCATTTAAATTCAAATGGAAACCATTTTTATTTCGAGCTTTTTTTTACCCCTTTGTAATTAGTGTCTCGTTAATTAAATTCTATACAATCAGATTTAACCATATTTTTTTGTAATAATTGGATCGATAAATTTTGTTAAAAAAAAAAAGATAAATAAAATTTAAAAACTAAATTTTTTTATGATAAATTTAAATTATAATTATAAGCTTCTAAATGATGAACGTCATTTAAAATTGAATTACATTAAAAAAATTAAGTGTACGTCAGTTAGATCGATAGCTCCATTTCGAGACTCTTGAATAAATTAAAAGTAATAATGACGTGATAAAATTTTTAATCAATTACATTAGAATAGAACTACCTTGCAATTAATCCAATAGCCAACAGCTATCTCATATACAATATTTAACAAACTTACAGAGAAATTCAAATTTTATGTTCCAGCGAGCTAATTTATTTAGATTATCGATTTAATAACGTAAATAATTAAACTCTGTGTCACTTTGCCGAAAGTTAGGCAACAGATTTTCCCACTTTTATCTCTAATAGTAAAATAGAAAAAAATTTTTTTAATTAGTAACTATTATTAAAATTTTGATATTTTTAATTTTAAATTATTTTTACGGATCTAGGAAGTAAGTTATAATATTAAAGTTAAATTGTGTTGATAAGCCGGTCTGTTAGAATTATAATTTCAATGAATATTAATTAGAGATTAAATCGAAGTATACTGGGGTTAATCTTACAAGTCCGCAAATTGACACTATCTCAGATGATTAATATTTTATAGTTATAGTTATAGTCGACTTCTGGCGGTTGTTATAGACCGAGTAATTAATTTTAAATTCGGTTATTCATAATTATTATCCCTATGAGGATAATATAAATGTCTGTATGAATTAAGAAGATAACTTTTCATTTTATAAATTTAATTAATCAAAAATAATTGCTACAAGCTATACTTGTCTAATTATAAACATGGTAATTTCCACGACTGGAGGTATTTAATTTTTCACTGCAGCTATAGTTCATTATTACAACGTATGTCTAATTTATGCGAGACAGAATTTTGAAGGAATTTTAAAAATGATTTTTAATAATTTTTTTTTTTTTAACTAATAATTTTATCTCAGTTTACTTTGTAATTAATTATTTTAAAAGTACATAAGACATAAAAATGTACTTAAATAAATTAAAATAAAATCGCCCTCTATGTTATTATATTAAAAAAAATTATTAATGCAATAATTATAATAATTATGCACGCATTACAAATAACCTGTTGGGAAGCTATTAAGAGATTAAACCACATTCAGAATGTTCAATTGTTAATGTAGTGAGAAGAATAATTGAAAATGAGCTGCAAAATGTGGGTGGAATAATGCAGCCCGTATGTTTGCACTTATTCGTATCATAGGAATTGTTTAATTTGAGATAAAAACTGGCAACAGTGAACTTTGCCGAGGGATGAAAGTTGACAGTTATGAGCTATGAGGTAGTTTCAACAGAAGTCTCCATGAAAATATATAAATGCATAAATATGGATATTATACGAGCCGAGCAAGGATTTGAGAGTTTAGCATGAGAGAGCGTACTACCATACACCGGATCAGTGATATGGAGAGCAAAGCCCGGGTGTAAGACTACAGACCAGAGGGTGGGTGGGATTTTACGGATAAGGGGTCGGTGGTGTAGGAACCGGTCGACGCGTCATCATTAGAACGCGGGACACCGGCGAGTTCACCTCGTGAATATATTGTTTCCTGGAAAGGGTTGTGACGTACACGTGTTGTGCAATTTTTAGTGTTTTGGGTTAAGAATTTTCAAAATATATATTTACGTGATTCTAATTTTGATTTATGATTATTATCAGTTTTCAAAGTCGGCTTTTGACCTTTTTTTTCTTAAAGTTTGTTGTTTATTTTTGTGGTTTTGCACGTGGCAATATATTTCTTATTTTTATCAAAATTTAAAGGTCAATTTTTTTTATTCAAAATTTTTAATTTTACGGAAATCTATTTGAAAATTTTTTTAATAAAATTTAAATGTCATAAACTGTTTTATTGTTGCTTTGAAAAGAAAAACACGATTTTTTAATCATAGAATTTAATTTTTATTTCAATTAAAAACTTTTTTCGAAAGTAATTAAAAAGTTGATTGAATTTTTTTTTTTAATATTGTCTTTAAAGCTTTTACGAAAATTGTTAATTTTGATTAATTAAAAATTTATATATTAAAAATAAAAAGATTTTATTTTTTAAAAATTTTCTAAGATTTAAAAATCAAAGGAAAATAAAGATAATAACTTACATGATTTATTCAAGAGTTTGCTGGTTAAAAACTTGTTAAAAGAAAATATTTTTATCGTTTCAATATTATTATAGTTATAACCCGCTATTTTTCATTGTGAATTTATTTCCGTAACGGCTATCGATGTTGATTTTAATTTCCGGAAAACACAGTCCAATTTGTTCGAAAATAAAACGACTTTTTTTCCTAAAAAACCAACCCAGTTGAAATATTTCTACTCAAAATTATTACATTGATAGTATAGTTGTACTTGATATCAATCAGTTTTTATTTACGATCGTAAAAGTCGATATAACTGAAACAGAAATTGAATTAAAACTTGTGTTATTTAGTTCGATTGAAAATTAAATAAAAGAGTATTTGTAAATGTGGTCTCAAATGAAATTCAACAAAATGTCGTGAATACCAATTTAAGAAAAAATATAATATACTTTATCATTATTTATTCACGATGTGGTGCAGCTCTCGGCGTTCTATTGAAAGTGAACTTTGATTGAGTTAGTGATGAAATAACAGATAGAAAAATAAATTACAACTTTTTGTATTTTTTATCACATCATCCATGGTCATTGATCGGTTCCACATTAAACTCATTTCTCGTTTCCAAATAAATAAATATTTCCTCGCGAATTTCTTGGCATAGAAATAAAACACAGTTAATATAAGCTTACCGAAAAATAAAGAGCGTAGATTTTCTTGTACGGTTGTATCGACATTAAGATCAAAGGATCAAACGTAAGGTACGTAAGGAAAAACGTCTTGACATTTTCCGATAAAATTAATTTCCTCAGAGGTTCAGGGGTCGTAAAAAAAATTTTAATGGCTTCTGTTACATAATATTGCATAAAAATTATTCTTTTATCTCAAACAAATGTTTAGCTTCTTATTATGAATCATTTTTTCCACTTTGAAATATTATTACGTAATAAAAAGCGATTTTTTTATTTACTTGAAGTTAATTAATAGACTTACCTTGTTTTTTTTTTTTTTTTTATTTATTTATTGAATCTTTAAATATTTTACAAAATTTGAAATCAAAAACATTTATTTACAAGTCTAAAAAACTTTAAATTTTTATTTATTTATTTATTTTCTTCAAATTTATAAATTTTTTTGAGTATTTCAATATTCCACCTTGAAAATTAATAATTGTTATTTTTTTAATCAAAATTTATCAATAAAAATAATATATTTACAATTTATATAAGCTATATCGTGTAAAATAAAAAAAAAATGAATTTATAAAATTACCCTGGCCCTTAATACGTCAACTAAAATTAGGGTGCCCCTTTCAAATTAAAATAGAGCACGTCATAGTCTATGTCTGAGTTATTTCGTGTTTCTCATTCGTGATTTTCTAACGCGATAATATGTTTGTATCAAGTGTTAGAAATCGTTAATTACTAAGAGAAGATCGGAATCAAATTAAAGCCAAAAAAATATTTTTAGACTTAACCCTTCGAATAAAAAAATTATTATAAATTCAGACATAATACATGTAAAATGTAAAAAATGGAAACTCATCAGTAAAGTGAATAATATTGACCACAAACAATTAGAAAAATGGGTAGAAAAAAATAGCTAGTGATCGCGTGATCGCTTACAAATAATAGTAGTATAGTGTTTAGTGGAAATAGAATGGATTTGGCAGTGACGTAAAAGCCCCGAAGACAAAATTAATAGCACGAAAGAACAGTGGCTGAGGATACTTCCGGTGCTAAAGAAGCTTTCTGCACCATGAATTACGGTCTTAACGAGCCGGATCCGTGCTTACCGTTAATCCTGCCACCGAGGTACCGATTGCGAGATCTAATCCTTGGCGATTATGCATTCAATGACGATGGCGAAAGGTAAATATTTTGAATAACTCTATTCACGTTGTTATCCTATCATCTTTATCTTCAATTTCAAGTATTTAATTTAATGTTTAATTGAAGATTCTCGCTGTCAAAAGTCTAATTAGTGAATTTAATATTAAAATTTTGGCGATAAAAAATTTAAAGACAGAACAGACAGCAGTAAGTTATGATACTGCATGATTATGAAAAGTTTTATCATAAAACCGACTCGTCACAATTTACTAGCTTTTATGTTTATTATTTTTTTTTTTTATTTTATACTCACGTACTATATTACGCTTCATAAATTTTTTCCATCACGAGACATCAAAAGAGTGTATGTAATATAAGTAGCTATTATTTTTACGGGTGGAGAAAAATAACAAACGAAAAATGATAAAAATAATGAAATAAAATATTTTTTTCTTTTAAATTATTGTAAGTTAATACTTGCCGTAAATATTTGAGTTATGAATTAATAATTGCTGAATGTCTAAATTTTTATTGTCTCTGGTTTTATATTTAGAGTAGACGCATATAAATTTTTAAGATTAAGATTTTTTAATGTCAATTATTAGTCGTTATTAATCAAATCGATAATTTCACGATTGATTGTCCCAATTTTCATTTATTAAATGACGCGCAGTTGTAAAAATAAAAATAATGGTAATAAGCTAATAATTAATAATAAAATTTTAACATTTAATTTTAAAAAAGAATTTTAATACATGCACTGATAGAAAAATTTATTTGTATTAAAAAATATTTGTTAATAGTTAACAAATAATTCTTAGTATTTAAATATTTTTAAAGATAAACAAATCCTTTTATCAGTGTGTTAAAAATTAAAAGATAGTAAAACTATATAATGAAGTAACATCAAGTATTAATCGCTTAATCAAATGCCCGGATCATCCGCTCTCAAAATTGACGAAGAACCCTCGTCTATTGAGATGAAAATTGATGAATGTTAAGCCCGTCATTCCAATTTACATTGTCCCTCCTTGTCTCTATATCGACCGGCCTGGTCATTTTTTTCTGCTATATTTCGCGCCCTGTAAAAGATTAACATCTTCAATTCTCGCAACAATGAAAACAGTTTACAACTTTAGCACTTAAATTCTTTATTTAATACCAACAGAAAATTCCGTCGCGATAAACAATAAAGAATAATAAAAAGTAAGAATGATTGGCATTATGATTAGATGTTATTTTTTTAATTGAGGTGGCTAATTTTAATGTCAGCATGTCACCAAGATGTTGACACGTTCTTTGGGCATTGTCTTTTATATTTCGCGCAGAAGCTCGAGTGTTTCACACTTGACACAATTAATATCGACCGTAGTTTCTATTTTTGAGGTAAGATGTGTGTAATATTATCCCAGGATTTATTTTACAGTTTTTATTGTATTCCCCGTTCTTATCTTTCAATCTTCAGTAGTTTATTTTTGTTCGTGTTTAGGTACATCCTGCTTATCTGTTTGACGCCTCCAGTCTCTTGGGTCCCGAAAATTATCTCCAAATATTGGCTTTTAATTTCGCGAGCCAAATAATTTGTTTGTTTTTATTTAAAAAAGATATTCAAAGATTACAAACAAAAATAAAGCTAACCCGAAGGGAAATTTGAAGCGAAAAATTTTCTGACACTGTCGCACAAAGTCTAAAAGGAAATATAGGACATTTATTTATATCCCGTGAGATTTGACAGCTCAAAGCGCTTCATCGTTAAACTTTAGCGTGAAAAAAAGTCGAATTTCATCAGCAATCAACTTTGATTTTTATTGAATTGTTGTTGATAAATTTGGATCGAAAAAAAAATTTTTTATGCTCTCCTGCTCCCTTTTTTTTGTTAGTTAACTAAAAAATTTTTATTCGGCTCACAAGAGCTTTGTGTTCTAGTCGAAATAAGTGAAGCAAACAGTCAGACAATATAAAAGATACAATACAAATCCGAGAATTTTTTCTTGCTGGTTCAGTTGACAAAAAAAATATTTTTAATGAACTATTATATTATCAGTACTAATAATCTCGATTCTGAAGTCGCCTATTATCGGGCAAAATCAATGGAAAGTGAATAAAAGTGGAGCGCGATGTACCAGCGGAGATTCAGCAGACACCGGGTAAAAAGTGAGTGGTTATATCGAGTTGGGAGTGCTCAACAGGCACAACAGAGTGCGCGGAAAGACTAAAAAAGCTCCTTTGTCTCAACTGAGATCTCAGCTTTACAGGTCAGCTATTAAATAAAGAGCTCGTTCTATATTCCCAAGCTATTATCAGTTTACTCTTGTCATTATAGCCTTCGGCATTGTGCTCTTTGTCAATATTCCACTCGATTTTTTTAATAAAAAAAAAAAAAAATTCCAACTGCAACAATTAAAACAATTATTTTCAGTCGCTATTGAGTACTAAAACTTTGAATTTTTGTCATGGATTCATTTGAGCTTTCAAATCCTCATCGGGTGCACCTAACGGATTTTTTAAAAATGGGTTAATTAATAGGTGTCGATTGTAGCTTGATGGATGGACGATTTTTTCCAAAGGTTGAATCCTATTTAAAAAATCTAAAGGTTCAAGGACTCAAATTAAAACAGCAGTATGGAAACTTTTATTCACTAAAATCAGAAATAGAACTTAAATTTTTACGTTTCTTAAAAAATTCTGAAAAATAAGATTATTTTGGTGATAAGTAAAATTTAATCATTTTGTAAGAAATGAGATTTTTAAAAGCCCTCAAAAGGGGTCACTTCAAATGTGACCGGAATTATTTACTCCGTGCACGTAAATCGAATTTTGAAGGATTTTAAAAAGATTCCCTTATCCATTAGTCTATTTCGTGAGAAAGGAGGTTGAATAGGATAACTTTCTTAAGAAATTTTAAAATTTCATAAAAAACTGGAAATGTTTTTTTTTTATCTTCTATGCGTTGAAAAATCCTCGTATAATAATCTCAAAAATGTTTTAGAAAATCATTAATTGAAAAATTTAATCATGCCTATTTTTTTTGTAGAATTAATAATTTAACAAAGTTCACTAATTCGTTTTTTTTAAAGAGTAAAATGATTTATGTAATATAAATTATTAATTTGTAAAAAAATAAATAAAAATATAATGTATAAAAAAAAATTAATTTCATACTAAATCAAAATGATAAAAGTAGGAACGAATGATCCTAACAAATCTCCGCCAGTGGCTGCATTTAAATATATTTATATATTCCGACACATGACATGAATAACACGTGGCCGTGACCACTTGAAAGCATTTTCGCGCTAGTAGATGTCATTCACTGCGCAGACTCATCCTGCAGCTCCATCCTGCTGATATTGCATAAATCGATCATTCCTCATCCAGAGCTTCATTCAACTTTTTTTCACTCTTTTCATCTCTTATCTCTTCTTCATTTTATCGTTATCTTATATTCAATCACTAATCAATCACGAGAATTCCATCTCTCGACTTGATAAAAATTTTTTCTTGTCAAAAATGTTCAACTATTAATTAGGCAAAAATCCTAAAATTACAATTAAATTATGAAAAATGCCGGACTTTAGATTTATCATAATTAATTTTTTATTAAAAATAATTGATAATTTATCCACGATATTGGAAAAAAAGTAAAGAGCGCGGTTCTTGTCCCGATATCTGTATTATTGGCGCAGTCGCGGAACCAGCAACTGCGCCACGTGCATGTGTGCGCGTATCTCGGAAAAGTGGCAAGGGTAGTACAGCGATAGCAAATACGAGGGACAAAGACGGCGATTATGTGTATGTTGAATAAAGTAGAGGGTATTTTTGATGAAACAAGCGAGAGCAAGAGGGAATAAATGTGTAAAAAGATGTGGACCATAGCCTGTGAGAGAGAATCATGGGTGCGGTGTGGCCGGGGTTCTCCAGTTCGAGACGCGGGGGGTGTCACGATTCTATGAGAAAACAGCTCTACCGCAGTAGTGTCGAGTGCGGGGCAACTTAAGCTGGCTCCTTTCCTCTCTTGCTCATCTTCTTCTTCTTCATGTGTGATCGTGTCATGCCATTACCAAAATGTCACGCGTTATTACACTTTCATTTGTTCATTAACCAAGTTTATGTCTTTATCGACATCAACTCCTCAGCTCCGAGCTTCATCGCTTGTCGTTAGATCATTTATTATCCCATTATGTTATCTTCAACCGACGTCTTCGCAAATTGGTTAATGCTAATATAATATATCAAGTGATAGCGTTTATGTCAAGTGATTATCTATTTTTATTTATTGTTTTCTCTGTTTTGTGGTTAATCAGTGATTTAATTGAATTGATTAAAATTTTTTTTGTATTTTAATTAAAAGTTTCTGAGGTTTTAATTATCAAGTTTGATAATTTTGTACATTTATTTTATTATGGGACTGAAGATATTTTTTTTAGAGACTAAAAAAATATTCTGGCACTTTAAATAATTTTTTTAGAGGCTTCAAAAAATTTTTGTAATTAAAAAAAAAATGATTTTTGAAAATCATGACCTCTAATAATTTTTTTAAATAATTTTTTTGTGATGGTGACTTGAAATTTCTTTTTTTTATAAGTAATTTCTATTGAAAAAATTTTTAGTTCAATAATATGACGAAAATTGAATGAAAATTTCATCAACAATTTTAATAGGTATTTTTTAAGAAATAATTAAAGTGAAATGTTTGATAAATAATTGAGATTTTAATCAGAATTGTGACTAAAAATATGAGCAATTATAGAATTAAAGGATAATTAAGAATAATCCATAAATAAAGGACTTTGAATGACAATGGGAAAAAAGAGTAAATTTAAATAGTTTCAAGGTTGAGTAAATAAAATACTTGAAACAATGTACTGCAGTAGGCACGCGATCCTCGTTGCAAAGCCAACATGTTCAAGATCAATTGATACTTACAGAAACAAGAACAATAACAAGAGCAATTTCGGAAATAACTAAATAAAGTTTGTTGGATGTACTTCGGGATATTTTATTTAAATTTGATAAAATGTGACATTGTATCGAACTGTGCATTTTAGTGTTGTGCTTAGCGACCTTGGCGAGGGTGCGCACTCGTGTCTTCTGCTTGTATTGAAGGTCACTAGAACGCGAGTCGATAGTAATTTAACAGTACATCTAGCCGACATGTGTTTAACATTTTTCATTTTTTAACGCGCACGTGTGATTGAATTATCTCTACCTCAGATTAAAATCAACCAAAAAATATCAATCAAAATACGTAGAAAATGAAAGTGTAATTAGCTAATTATAAAAAAAATTTTTTAACGAAATAATTCATTAATATTAAATAAATATATATCATACAAATATCAAAATGAATGCAAATGCTCAATGATGCAATAATTTTAATTAGCAAAATTTATTACTGAGCTTCCAGTTTTAATGTTTAATAGTTTAGCGTTTATTGTTAAAATTGTTGGCTGTTAATATTTATCATAATTGTTATTATTATGACTATGAGATACATTGTTAATTAATTAAAATAATTAAGACTTCTATTTTAAAAATATAATTTTATTGGGTGACACTGGAATTTAATTTTGGAGAGTTCATTAAATTGTTGAATTATTGGATTAAGAATTAACGCGATAGTGTAACTGAGATGTTTTACGAAGTTTAATTACATCAGACAGTTTTATCAATTGAATTATTTATTTAAAAATTTGACTTTGAATTTTTTAGAGGTGAAAATTAATTTAAAAAAAAATGTTGTTAATTTATTTTATACAAAAATAATTTTTTATTTGAAGAAAACTTAAATATTTAAGAGTTGATTGAATTATAATAAATATAAATTAATAGTGTACTTTTATAAGTTTTAAGTGAGGTGTAATTAACAGTTTTTACGGCTCTGTAATGTGATATTTCCGCTCTAATTACTCAAGATATAAAATACCGCACGACTCCACATAAAAGTACACATCATGTTAAGGGTCGTACGAGTACACGTGCACTAATGTGTTGTTGATGTAAGATAGCGATGAAGGAAAAGAAAAAGAAAAAATGAGTGTAAGGGCTGTTATATTTATACTCATCAGACAGTACCGATAAATAAAAAAATAAGCGCTAAAATGGGATAAAAAAATAAAAATGTAGGAGAAATTATAAATAAACTTTGTAGTGAGTAAGAAGTAGACATCAGTAATTGTAATATTAATAAAAATAATAATAATAATGGAAGATTATTGCGAGTCTAACGGTACGGAGTGCTCGTTGTTTAATCACCGAAGACCTCGTGATCCCCTAGGCGGATCCAACGCCTCATCGGAACCGTTGCTTGAAATGTCAACGATGGGATGGGAGTACGAGCCATTGTCGGACATTCCGACACCGATAGGTGATGTCACTCCGTCATCCTCACCACCGAAGGAGACCCTTCAAAAGGTCCACTCCGCGCCGAGGGTTTGCTTTGAGCCGGATAACCTCGAGGCTACGAGAAGACGTAGCAGCAGCAGGCTCACTTCTATAAGGAGACGCAGTCGGAGTATGAGCGCTTGGGGCGATTTGTCAAGGTGTTCATTTCGACTTGATGAGAGGTAGAGTTTTTTAGTTATTTGGTTTTGTCGGAAATAAATAATGGAAAATCGTTTGATTAGAAAAAAATTATTTTTTGTTTTGGAAAATTAATGTTAGTGTAATTATACTAAAATATTATTTATTTATTTTATTTTAAGTCGTTTTTAAACAGCTAGATCATTATAGACTTCTATTTACATTTTATAATATCTTAGGACATAGTTTATATTTTGTTTAACAATTTAATGTGTTTTTATACTAAAATAATTTTGATATTCTTGGTTCAAAACAAATTATACTTCGTATTTTTTTTTATTGTCAAAAACGAACTGTTTAAATTTCAATAAAAATTGAAATAAAAGAAATAACATTTTAAATATTTTTAATATTTAAAATTACAGATTCAGTAATTATTAACAAAAAACTACCAAAATAATTTCTACCTCGCTTTCTCTATCGTAATATGGCATAGGTAAATCTATTACGTTGCATAGTAAATCTATTACGTAAATCAAACGAGACTTTGTATTTGACATTCGGCTTTTGCGGTATCGATAATATTAAATTAATTTTTGAAAAAATTGAACGAGAGTTTAGATCTGAATTTCAATAGAATAAATTAATTACTTGAAAATCTCAGTCTAAAATACAATAAAGATTTTTATTAAATTTCAAATTTTTTATGTATGATCTAATGAGTTTAATTTTATAAAATTGAAAAGAAATAAAGAACTTTTTATGCAATAAAAAACACAACTTAATTAAAAATATAAATTATTTTTAAACATTTTTAATTAAGAGCGTAATTAAAAAAGTTTATGCGAAATAATAAACTGAGCCTTATTAGGAAGGGTGTTTTAATTATAGAAGATAATGAGTGTTTAAACGTAATTGATTTAGGAAGTTATAATTCATTTTGAATAGCGCAATTTATAGCATAATTGCTTGGTACAGTTGCTTTTTTGGAGTAAAAAGTAAAGATTAAAAAATTTTACCTAAGAAAATAATTATGAGATTTTTTATAATTGATATTCTCAGGGGGCAAAAAAATGGAAATAATTAACTGCAAAAAACAACCTTCGATGTAAAGAAAATTTCTCTGAAACCCGTATTTTAAGATGAATTATTATTTAAAAGCTTCTTGACTTTCAAGTGTCTAGAGAGTGTTTGAAAAAGTAGAGCGAGTTTAATGATCCGCTGCTAAAACTGAAGGTATTTTTTTCAGTACTTGGATTTAGTGATTTATAAAAAATTAACGATTTTGGTTAAGAATTTTTTTTTGATTCTTTAAAAGACGGACGTGAAAGAAATAAGTAAATATCACCGTGATAATTTATGCAAGTCAGGCTTTCCATTAGTTTCAGTTTAACTTTTAATTATTTAACTTTTCTTGTATTTAGATTTTAACAACACAGTTTAGGATTTTTATTTTGGGATGTAAAATTTAATCTTATTAACAATTAACAATTAATGAAACTTATTAAATATTTATAAATTCATCAGTGAATTTTGAAAAATAAAAATAACGATTATCACACCATCTTTTATAAAAATCTGTCAGAATCATGTCTTCCAGTTTTTGCACTTAAAAACTCACATTCTTTACCCAAAAAATTTAAACTGTTATGAATGCATAGATGTCTTATATTTAGTTCATATCCACAAAAAAAAAAAAAAATTGGAAATGGGTGTGCATTTGACATTTGGCTAGAGCATCGGATTTCGATACATTTTTGCTGTGTCAGCAAACATCGATTACAAAAGTTCTGTAATCCTGGCGTGGATGACGTTGGAAAGTACACATTAATAACAGCAAAGTTGAGTTGTTAGTGCTCACCCGAGCAAGTACAACCATCTGATAATTTATTACACAATAAACTCCCATTTTTTTCCTATTTCACGCTTGATTCATTGCCATATTTCAATTTTGCTGAGGGCTTTAAATCACGATTCCTCATTTATAACCCAAAGTCTTCATATGATTACTACATTGATATGTTTATAGACAATAAAGTCTTCCTCGAGGAGAAAAAATTGATTTTTTTTCCAAAAAATTGGTCAGTAATATAGGGAGTCTATTTTTTATGAAGTCTCTGGGGAAAGAAACGTTTAATATTTCTCAGAAAAACATTTTTTATTTTCGAACAAATTGTTGTTTTATAAAGAAATAAATTATCATACTTATATGTAAAAAGAATCAAATTGTTTCTTAAAAAATCGGCAATTCCAAAGCGTTAAATTCATGATGCGATAAATAAATAATTTTAAAATCTTTTTAAAATTCACTCAAGCTTCGTAATAAAAACAAACTTTCTATTCCTTCAACATGTCTGTTCTTTTATTGAAAAGAACAATAAATTAAATTGAAAGATAAAAAACTGTAGACAAGAAAGTGCCAGGTCAATGTCTAGGGATCGAGAAGCAATCAAAAATTCTATCGTGATGGTTCCTTTCATACCCAGGCTATTCGAGCATTCGGCAAAAATTTTTATCCCAGAAAAAGAGTCACAGTAATCGATGTGCTTCTGCGTAGGTAGAAGAGTCTAGAAATTCGGATAATAAATACAGTTGAGTTGTTCAACACTTAACTCCTTTAATATCAGTATAACTTTGTCTTCAAACAATTTATTAGACATATACGAATGAAAGTCGTTACGGTAAAGACCGCCTTAGTAATGGAAGATTAAATCGCGCGAGAAAATTATTTTGAAATAAAAGTCCAATAAATTATCAAGCTGTTTTCATTCTTAGTCTTTATTTCCTGAAATTCTCCAAAAGTTTTTTATACAATGTGTTAGAATCAAGTAAACAAGCACTTAATGAAATTGAGCAATTGTAATCATACTAATCATCATTATAAATTATAAAAATCAATTAAAAAAAAAACTAAAATAATTTTCATTATTTTTATTCAAAACTTATTTTCCGTTTCAAATACTTAGCGTCTGTTCGGAACTGCAGTGACTCGAATGCTCTTTCTTCCGTATTAGGAAGATACTTACTATATTCATATACTTTTATATCAACATAAATATATAAAGAATGTAGTTCAATTAGAAAAATAACTCTGATTTATTCAGGATTTCCGTTGAACGGAAGATGCTCCATACCGTACATTATTTCTTACTCTATAAAAATAAAGTTACTTTTTTGTTCGGAACAATATGGTGTATCGATCTACTAGTTGTTGATTTATATTAAGCTGTTTGTATATTGTATTAATATAACATTATCTTGATATACAATAGAGAAACTCAGTAGTTTATTCTTGATCTAATTTTGCATGGATAATAATAAAATAATAAGTCAATGAATTAATCTACTTGCTTTGTTAAGAAAAAAAAAGTAAGCTAAAAAAATTTTTCATCAAAATCAAGTTATTTTTAAATTATTAAATTCATTGAAAGTTATTTTTTCCAAGGTAATCTTTCAATAAGTTTAGTAATTTAATAAATTGAAAAAAAATATGGCTACTGCAAGTGGAGCTCAAATAATATTTAAAAATTTATTATGATTTATAAATTTATTAATTAGTGACGCTGTATTGGCTGAATAGCTGTTAAGTTTTATGCAAAGAAATAAATAATATTTTCTAAAATATTATTTTATAATTATTCCTGAAAAGTTGAAGTAATAAATGTAAGTTTATGTAAATATGTCGAGCTTTCATGCAACGATTACCCGTCGTGAAAGAGAAAATTTAAGTAAAAGTACAAAAGACTTATTATATCAAATTAGTTTCCTTGGAACAAAATTTGTTACAAACTAGACCGAAAGGGTACTACGTTTCACAGAAACTTGCGGTTATGCGCTTAAGAAAATTACGAGTTCGCTATTTCCGTGTGCCTTCAGAGTTGGCTAATTTCATTTTATGTAAGGTATATTCTGGGATAAAATGGTTACCGAATCACCCATGAGTACTTAGCTGGAATAATAAGACTGTTTCAGGGATATAGAAAAAAAATTATGTTCTAAATAGCTCTTTTTTATTGAAAAACAATGTTGACTTTTTCGATTTAGGCTTTGGAGTTCATTTTACTTTAACCATTTTGTTTAAGTTTTAAGTCGGAAGTTGTATCTAAGCTACTCTCCGTAAATTTTGATACAAATTTAAATAATGAAAAAAATGAAATTATTATCAAAGTTGCTCTAGATATTATTTCAAAGGTAATTTTTTGGATTCAAAACATATTTTATCATATAAAGGGTTCTTGAATCTCATTTTTATTTTTGTGCCTTTAGCAAATAGAAGAATAAATATCTCAGTATATTTTCCGAGTTAGCTGACCATAGAAATGGTCGGCATATGCATCACATCTTGAGCACCATTAGGAGCTTTTTATGAAGATAAAATGAATCTTCAGCACAAAAAAGCGGTCATGCGAATTGTAGTAGGCAGAATAAATTGTGAGAGAGCTTGAGGTGTTATAAAAGGCTGACATAAGTGAAAATATATTAAAAATATATTAAACACTCGTTATTTTTAATAAAGAAATAAAGAATAATTTATCACTTCATACTCAAAATTTTAAGGAATAAAAAAAAATCCCAAAAGCATCGTGTAATTTTCTCGTAATATAGTTTGGATACTTTTCACATAAAAATTACATTTCAAAGTTGATAAGTAGATCTTTAATGTCGTAGATTTGAATCAGAGTACTATCATTCAAAACTTTATAATTGTTTTTCCGTCCCTGTCTTCTACTTGACATTTATAACAAGTAACTTTATATGTATTCAAAACAATATTGATACTAGAAACTTTTGTAATTTGTAACAAAATATTTCATTAATTACTTTTTTTTTCTGTTTCAGGTGAGTTGTTTTTATTTTTCATTGGTACGTAAGTCAACATTTTTCTATACTTGATAATAATTATCATCTCAAAATGTTAAACATCATTAAAGTAAAATGCGTTACTTTACATTAAAAAATTTTTGTTGGTTATAAAAAAAATCGTCAAGAGAAAAAATTATAAATTCATTAGAAATTATTAAAATCATCGATAGGTAAAAAGTAACAAATATTCGTAATTAACATCCATAAATTTTTTATAAATATATAAATCCGTTTTATCCGCGGAGAAATGAAAGAAAAGTAAACATCGAGTATTTACTTGTCGATATAGTCCACCCCTAATCGCACAAGGAGAAAATTGTTGATAAAGTAGATCAAACGAACGCTAAGGATGAAAGGATACCATGAGCAGTGTTGCGACTCCACACTGCGGGTGGAAGAAATTTCATCTCAGTTTATCGACTGGGCGTTCATACCCGCGAGCCCGCTATTATGTTCCTCCGATTTCTCACAGGTGCTCGTTTTCCGAGTGAATAATTTTAAAGCTCATTGGCTTCGCCCATTTCCCACTGGCTACTCATCCAATTTCACACGGAATTCGCTAATGGTGACTAATTTGA